ATTAAATTTTTTGAAACATTTTGTTATAATAATTCTTGCTTATCAAAAACCGTTCAAAAATTGTTATAAATTTACATCGAGAAGTTTCTATAAAGGCTTAAATACAATAGGCACAGGTAATAGGCATAGGCAACAGAGAATAACGAGCCGTCCAATTAAAGCTCTGGAATATAATATCGAACTTATACTCCAGAGCTCTGATTGGTTCGTTGTTTATTTCCTGTTATTTCTGCCTGTGTCTATTGTATTTAAGCTTTAATAGATTTACGAAAATTGAAGTCAGGAAATACGTGAATCTGGAAATTTCGTGTTTTCCAGACGAAATCTTACAAAGTCTCAAGTAACAAGGATTCTATATCGCAATAACTATTTCCTTCTATAAGCGAATATAATTTTATCATTTTAAATTCTTGAATAACAATTAATTGTTAACGTTCTCTTTAACGTATGTAACGTATGTAACACACCGTAATTGTTTAAAAAAGAATATTAAACAATTACATAAAGACGATATAGAAATTTCTTGATATAATATAGAAACTTCTCGATGTATTATAGAAACTTTTCAGTGTAAATTTATAACAATTATTGAATGCTTTCTAGTAGGCAAAAATTATTATAGCAAAACGTATTAGTTATTCTAGAAACTTCTATGTAAATTTATAACAATTATTGAATAGTTTCTAATAGGCAATAATTATTATGACAAAATGTTTTGGAAAATTTAGTATTTGATTTTAAGGAAACAAAAATTATTTTGCAAGAAAAATATTCTTTAATATAATAACGTAAGGTACGACCTCCGCACGTTTAAGCTACAGAGACGCTCCAGAATGTCAGTGTGAGCGGGCGCCGAATCTCAAGCAGTAGTGGGGATAGCGCGCCGGAATCGGCTCGAAATATGCAAATCTTTACGAGCACTGATTTAATTGATGAATACGGTTAAGCAGATTTGTGTGCTATTTTAGCTAATAATTTATAATATAAAGTCCTTATAAAACACCTAACATGTGATAGCAGTTTGACAGTTCTCTGTCATAACATTCATAGAATAGACGCAAATATGTATTTTCAGCCATCGTGCAAAAATTTTTTTATAAGAGAAAATCCTTGTAAATCATTATTTAAAAGGTGTTAAAAATTTGAAAGACAATTGATTTAAGATAATTGAACAGTGTAGAATTAAAAAATATCAAGTGTTTTGTGATCATCTTTGCGATTTATTGTAAAATTTGTTTCAAAGTTCAAAAGAATCCGTGTCTAAATCGGATCTATAGTACAGTAGATAACTTATAAGCCTGCTTGTGTGCGTGCGTGCGTGCGTGCGCGCGCGCGCGCGCGTGTGTGTGTGTGTGTAGTACTGTGATTGGCTGATCAGATCTGATCCAAGGAATTAAATCAGTAAAAAATATCATGAGTCATCAGATTCAAATTGAGTTTCATTGATTTCAATTCTGATAATATAAATGTCATAATTTCTTTTTCTGAATAAAATTTATATCTTTATCAAATTGCTCATTTTTACTTAATATTAACAAAAATACATTAAAATATTTTAAAATTTTATCTAAACATCTATATAAAAATAGAAGTATCTGATTTGAATCAGGATCCGATTTGGAATCAATAATTTCAAATCGGATCGGAATAAGCGTTTTTATTATAGTTCATTATTTATTTTCCATTATAGTTCAACACAGAGAATGAAACATGAGAGATATGTCAAAATGGTCTGAAACAAAAATGAAAAGAATTAAATGAACTTTACAATGGCACCTTTAATTTTACGATCGAACTTTATTTACGCCTTATAGAAACCAAAAATTGCAAATAGAACCGATTTTTACTCCACTCTCCTCTACAAAAAAAAATTGTTAAAATTAATAAAAATGTTCCAATTCTAGTATTTTTTTTTTGTAGATTTTTACAAAAAATATTTGGAATACTTTTGTTAATTCTAACAATTTTTCCGCCAGCAATATTATATCAATATATAATACAAATTAAATACATAAAATATATAAAATATTATACAAGTTGTAATTAAGTTATAATTTAAATAATAAATATGCTTTTATTAAACTATTTAATGCTTTTATCCTTCTAATTTTACTATTATTAATAAATAAGTGATCTATTCTTTTTAGTTAAATTTCTTGCATCGTTCACTTTTTCTCTATTTTTTTCAATGGATAGAAAAAGAGAAAAATGAACTAAGTAAAAAGTTTAGTCGAAAACAACTGGCCTATTATGTATTAGAGGTCAGTCATATTGAATATTGAATAATTTATTCATGTATATTCGCGGCGTTTAAAACACTATTTGAAACAAATGAAGACGATAATCTATTTTTTTTTAATAACCTGTGGCTTTACCTTATTTTCAAAAAGATTTAAAATGTCCTAGTAAACAAGAATGGATTAAAATGGATTGGAAAATTTTTTCTATCCGAATGCGTATTTTCAATAGCGAATACTTTTTTTTGGATTTAATTGGATTCAATTGGATTCAATTAGATTCAATTAGATGCAATTGAATTGAAAAATTGCATTTCCTATTCAAAATTTTGAATTGAACAATATTCACAATGCACACAGAAAAAGCAAATATTATTTTTAGATTGAAAAGCACGGAGATATACTCTATGCAATTCCTATAAATGAATAAAAATGCATTCAGGATTGAAAAGCATTTATTTTAACATTCGTGAATATTTCTGAAAATCTGAATCCTTTCAATTCATTTTAATCCATTCTCGTTCGTTAAGGTATCATTTTTCTTTAAAGATATCTTTTTATGCTGACGCTAAAACGCTTGATATTCGCTTTGTTCATGTTCACTCTATGTAATTTTGTCTATGATTATCGCTAAAAAGTTCGTTTTTATCCAACTTTTCAGCATTGGCTGGTTAATTCTTGTAATATAAAATTTATTTTGTGCATTTTTAATTGGAAAATTTTGTTTATTAAAGTTTTAAAATGCAAAGCAAAAAAAGTGAGGTAAATTAATAAATAATACTTTGAATATTTATTTAAAGAATATATCAGGTGTACAACTTTGCTTCCGCCGTTTTTTTTTCCGAAATTCGAGGCTTTATTGTAAAAAACTGGTTATACATTTATGATTCAAAGTATTGTTCATCACTGGTCACTACTTTCTCTTTCGGGTAGCGTATGAATCCCGCGTCGAAAAAACTGGTCATCTTTTGAGGCTATCCACGAATCGATCCAATTTTTTACTTCTTTATAAGACCGGAAGTGCTGGTCAGCCAGGCCGTGTGCCATTGATCGAAACAAATGATAGTCAGAGGGAGCAACGTCTGGAGAATACGGCGGGTGGGGTAGGACCATTTCAACGTTTCCAAGTATATATCTTGACCACTTTCGCAACATGGGGTTGAGCATTGTCATGCTGCAAAATCACTTTATCGTGTCTCTCGTTGTATTGCGGCCGTTTGTTTTTCAATGCTCGGCTCAAACGCATCAATTGCGTTCGATACCGATCGCCTGTGATTGTTTCAGTCGGTTTTAACAGTTCATAATACACTACGCCGAGCTGGTCCCACCAAATACAGAGCATGACCTTGGACGTCAAAATCACCGTTCTTGAAGCGTTGAAATCACTCACGATACGTTCTTTCACTAATAGCGGCCTCACCATAAGTATTTGAGAGCATTCGATGAGCCTCAGCCGCAGATTTCTTCATATTGAAGCAAAAAATTAAAACCTCCCGCAAATGACGAGAATTTGGCTCGTAAACTGACATTTTCAATCGAGAATAACTTTATGATGCAGACACAAATCGACTAATGTTTCTATGGGGTTATGTTGACAGATGCCCAAGTTTATTGTATGACGTCTATGATCTATTTATTTCGACCACCACTTACCGCTAAAGCCATCTATAGGAAAACGGCGGAAGCTAAGTTGTACACCTAATATTATGAAATTTCTTTTTGAATTAAATTGACACATTTTATCATCCATACATAATATTTATAATTAAACATATTGAACTTTAAATTCCAGAATAAATAACACACAATGAAAACAAGAGACACAAAACTTGTTTATTTTCTTCTTATAGAACTCTACGAATTTTTTTAGAATTTTTTATCAACTTTTTAGTATTGCATTTCCTCATTTTTATCAACATGAGAAAATACAATATTAAAAACTTCTAAAAAAATTCTGAAAAAATTTTGAAAAATTCTTAGAGTTCTATGAGAAGAAAGTAAACAATTTTTGTCTCTTACAGTTTTTTTTCTGTAAAGTTGATAATATGTGAATAAAAAATTATTGAAGACCAATTTTTGGTAATTTTTAGCAATTAATATCTTGTTAAAATTGTGAAAATTTAAAAATGGTAGAGGACTTTTCTTTTCAATTTAATCCATTCTATCCTTGAAAAATTTATCATTATTTTCCAAACACTCTGTATATTTCCATCATGAGGCTGTTTAGCGGACTCGACAGTTGAGTGTTTGCTGCTATTGATGTATCATTCCAAATCTAACATGCTAATTGATTGATCTAAAAGAATATATCAATAATAGCGAGCGCTCATTGTTATTGGTATATTCTTTTAGATCATCCAGTCAGCATTTTAGAGCATTTATCAGCGCATCAGATTGACTGAGAATCGATTCTGTATCTTGAAACGAGGTAAAAATTACAAAAGTGCACGAATTTATTAGAATAGTGATTTCATTGGTCAATACTTAGTAAATTTGCTCACTTTTGTAATTTTCATCTTTCCCCTGGTGTTGAATAGGTCCTGTGTTTCTAATTTTTTTAAATTTCTTGAATAATCTAGTCCTGCAACAGTGCTCGATGATGCTTTCTAGAGAGCCTCAAGAAAGAGAAAATGGTTTGTATGACGTAAATGTCCGCGTCCAATCAGAACATGATCCGTTTTTCTCCAATCTCTTCCATGTCTAGCTCTGAATGCCATGGAGCTCTTAATGCCGGCGTCCAATCAGAGGAAACAGGTCACGTGATGCAGTTTGTTCTCCCTTTGAGAGGCGCTCTAGTGCTCTCTCTGTTGTCTTTGTACATTCGCGACATTCGCGTTAGTGTGAGGTTCGTTCTCGATCGAAGTGACCTGTGAGAAGCGTCGTTCAAAGGCAGAGATAATCAGGTGAGTTGTTTCGCATGCGATTGCGTCGGTTAAATTACACTCGCGTTTCTCGTACGTTTTCGCTAGGAATCACGAAAAACTACGAGGAATATCGTTTCACAATGAGAAAATGCCGAGACACGAAGAAATTTCCACGACGCGTGACTCGAGGGGGGCCGCCTTCGCTTTGCATGTTCGGAAAAGTGCACTTGGCCTGCCGCCATCTTGTTTATTATGCGTGCTTACTTTTTGGAGGGAAATCATCGTCGCGATACATCAGTAAACGCGTCGTGGTATTTCGTTTTTCTCGAATTCGTATAAATCATGTTTCAGCCTATCAAATTTCGCATTTCTCGATCTCGAGAGAGAATCCGGTGATCGGTTCGGTTTTCCTTCTTTTTTTTTCTCTTTTTCGTTCCGCCCTTTCTCTTCCTCTGTCTCCCCCCTCCCTTACTGCATAGTGTATGAGTGCCTTGGATCGCGGCGGGGGTCACTGATTATAGCCTGTTCTCCCCCCTCCCCCTTTCTCTTGCAAGCAAGCATCTTAACGTATGTATCTTGATGCTTTGTCCCATTAGGGACGAAGGTCCGCAATAGAAAGGAGAAGAAAACAACGAAAGCTCGCTCATCGTCATGGCACGTACCAAGCAGACGGCTCGTAAGTCAACGGGTGGAAAGGCACCCAGGAAGCAGCTTGCCACCAAAGCGGCACGTAAAAGCGCGCCGTCCACTGGAGGCGTCAAGAAACCTCATCGTTACAGGTATGTGCTGTGTATCTATACATACACATGTATACCTATATACACACATACACACACATACAAGTATAAACTTACCTTGAACAAATTGTTTTGAAAATATTAAAGATATTTGTCAATTTTACAGTACTGAATAATTTTTTATAACAATTTTAAAAGTAGTTCTAATATAGAAATTATATAGAAAATATTAAATATGTAATTCATATTTAATGTTAAATATAATTGTTTCAGTAAAATTTGATGTCTTTGAGAGAAGGAAATTTTAACTTTTTTTTTTATTTTTTAGAATGTGTATTTATTTTGAATCTTCTTTTCAGACCTGGTACTGTAGCTCTGAGAGAAATCCGAAGATACCAAAAGTCTACGGAGTTGCTCATCAGGAAATTGCCGTTTCAGCGTCTGGTTCGTGAAATCGCGCAGGATTTCAAAACCGATCTGCGCTTTCAGAGCGCTGCTATAGGTGCCCTTCAGGAAGCTTCGGAAGCTTACCTGGTCGGCCTGTTCGAAGACACGAATTTGTGCGCCATTCACGCCAAACGTGTCACGATCATGCCAAAAGATATACAACTGGCACGGCGAATTCGCGGTGAACGCGCTTAAATCGTTCACAAACAATACACAGAGCGTTCTCATTTTATTATTATTTGGATATTGTATGTTTCTAAACAATCTCAAATTTTTCTTGACTCTCTTCCGTGTATGTTTATCATAGTTAACACACTGCCAACTGCTGTAATAGAATACCTGGAAAAGTCAAATAACAAGTGAGTCTTGATTAGACTTTTAAACTCGATTAGATGATTCACGATTCATACAATGATTAAGAAAAATGACAGATTAAAAAACTAATTGTAATTTACTTTTAATATGAAGTTGAAATTATAGAAAGTCGTAGTTTTATTTTATATGTGGATTAAGAAATAAAGCACGCAGCATATTGCTT